TTCATTAAATCGCCCCATTTACTGGATGTCCTGCCTCACAGCCTGTGTATGTCCAAGGCATAAATTACAGCATTAATTGAATAATATAATTGCCTTTGAAATATAATACTATTATATAATATAGGGCCAGGGCTATTCATCTTATTTTTACTCAAGAGCCAGTTTTTTTTGTCCTTTTTGGTTGGCCATGTCCACCAGATAAACTCATCTTCAATTTTAACTGAGGTCGCAACAAATAATTTAAACCAAACATCAACTGAACTACTACAGTACCAATCAGACGTAAATCAGGACTGACCCAGACTAGAAAAAATATTCCTTGAAAATGGACTGAGGATCAGATTAGATTTTTCAGGGGGCCTAAATTGGACCCCAGGCTGAGGTTGAGTAGGTCTGATCTAGGCCTGTTTTACTATATTACACTGAGATGAATAAAGGATCTCTATTAGGATTTGATGTGATACTGCATAAGCAATGTAAGTTGTAAGCTCTGTCTATCATAGTAAAACGCTTGTGACTCAAAGTTACAGGGAACTTTGAACATATGCACATTAATCATTATCCCTGCACGCTGGAATAGAACGCTGTACCGCCGTGTATCGACCTCTAGTCCACTGATAGCACAAACATAGACAAATTTAAGTCAATCGCCATGTCAACCGTTAAAGTTTCTGAAGTCCACAGCAGCAGTAGGTGACAGGAGAATGCTCTGCACTGTGATCCTGTTGATTCAAATGTACGGCATAGCTATCCCGCTCGCATGGGTGTATGCAGGTGCAAGAAACTATTCCACAACTTCGCAAATGTCATTGATGTGCTCATTAACTGAATTGGAGAGATTATTTCACGTGCACATTTTCTTGTTTGTCTTGTTCCATTGCCTCTTGGAACAATCTTTTGTTTTGAAGGTCTATGTTCATGCTTCCAGCCCTATCCTTTCCCCTATCCTCCTCTGCAGATGAGAATTGAGACACTTTGCTCCTCGTGCAGCAGATATAGGCTGAAATGAGATTCAGCCTAAATGCATGCACTTGTCATGATATACAAGTATATGTAAATTAAAAATAATCAGAGTAAGAAAAGTCCCCCCTGCCTTCCCAAAATGGAATGCATTTTCACACTTAAATGGTGAACCTGGGTTTACACGGTTTAAGTTGGACAATATGAGGTATCTGGCATTCTCTTAAATGTAAGTGGTGAAGATAAAATGCTACTCAATACTATAACATGTTTATGTCAGATATATACGTCATATAAAACGTGGACTTTAGTGACATCGTAGCTTGTGTTTGGATGGTTGGAGCATTTTGTTGAACCCCAGCTTACTGTGACATGACATACACTTGAGATGACTTGAGTGCTGTGCTGTCCTATAACTGAAACCTGGTTTTTTTGGCAGTTTAGCAGCTCTGGGCTATGGGGACATTAGCCAGATACTTATCTCTAGCCTAGTGCAAGCTACCCGCCACTCCCTCTCTTTCGCCCCTGTTTCCTCTCTTGCTCCTCAACTGATGCTGAGATATGATTTGGTGTAGGGAGCAGCGAGGACTCAAGGATATTGATCCAGACTCCACTGCTATCTCTGCACTCCTCATGCATTTTGCGTATATGTAGCAATCACCCATTTCTCCACTTTATCTTTCTGTGCAACCTTCACTTGCCTCTTTCGAGTACATTCATAATAGTGCCTCTTTTTGATGCCCGCACGCTTTGGTCTTGGACCTTCCTTCTTTCTTCCAGCATACACCTCCCCCAATCAAGACAAAACCAATAACGAGTGGGCTTAATTACAGGAGAAGAGCACTGCTAACAGCAGGTAACGCACCCTGGGGCAGAAGGTGCTGAGTCGGAGCAGCCATAGGGTGGGTTCAATGCATATTCTTAAACTAACAAATAAATTGTGAAATCAGGAAATTGCATGGCTCATTCATCTTGTTTGAACCAAATTGTTATAAAAAGCTAATTTTACTCATAACAGCATACAGTATAGAAAATGGGACTTCTCGCTGCTTCTGAAAACATATGGTATACTATATATAAGAGTGATACACTATTCTGAGGTGGAGTGACGTGCGCGATAAAATGTGGTTGTCGTTAAAATGTAGTAGTGACCACTCAATTCAAACCATTCAGTCTTTCTAAGAACAGACCAAAGGCCCATTAGGACCTTAACTGATGCACACATGCATAATACATGGCAGCTGGATCTAAAAGCATACCGCCCATTAGCAACCAATAGGTCTTATACAGTGAGAAATAGGCTACACGCACATACAAATGAAAGTGAAAAGTCCATATGTCGTATACTTAACCATCTTATTCAACAATAATCTTGAGCTAAAATACTTTTCAAGAAAAGAGGTGTTGGGGGTATGATGACGATCACAAAGTCTGTGTATTCTGATCATGCAATGTGCTTATAAGCTGTGTGTATTTGTGAAATTAGGTGGGGGGCAGGAGTCTACCTGGAGACAGATACACCATGGATTGGAGTGAGACTGGGTCTAGTTTACAGCGGGACTGAGGACATAGGGTCTCATGGGATAAAGGGGAGGTGCTGTGGCAGACCACACTGTCCTCAAACACTGGGAGTCATCTGTGAATTACACCAACCTGCTCCACTGTCAGATCTGATCTGAGTCAAGATAATGTTTAACTAAATGACAGTCCGGCATGAACTTGTTTCATTAGTATTACACTATGTCTTGCTTTTGTGTGAACGTGCCTGCTCTGGTGATGCTCATTGCTCACTGTTGATCCAGAGAAGCAGAGAGCAGCAGCAGCAGCAGCAGCAGCAGAGGCAGAATAGCTCAAGCTGCAGCAGTGCACAGAGGGCTATGCGCAAGCGCGCTATTACGGACAGGTCTACGCACATAGCCCAGTCCCACCTTTCAGTGTACCAAACTGTTCAGTTTAACAGCTTCCTCCTCTTCGTCACGTTTGTGCAAACGTGCACGCGCGCGTACACGGCGTTGATCGCCACATCCGCCGGTCAGGAGAGCGACTACAGTATCTGCAGCAGTTCACTACAACATAGGCTATTATTACGCAGGCAAGCTACCGATCGATAAACGCAACAACCCCCACCCCCGGTACCCGCCTGACATACCAACGGGGAAGCCCTTCCTCATAAATCAGGGCTTTTCTTCACAAAGGAATCACTCACCCAATGTTACTCAACGCCTGCTCGAACAGCTCCGTCTGTAAGATGTTCTGAGGTGTCGTGAAAGCTCCGTTGAAATGTGATAAAACCGAGCTACAGAACTGACGCAATGTATCAAACTGCATTTTCCTCCTTCGTTTTCTTTTATCCTCAGAGAGTGATCACCCGGTTTTCATTCACGACATACATCCCAAAGTACGAGCTCTCCTCGGATGCCCCGCTCCACATATCTCCAGTATCGTTATTATCTCCAAGGAGCATTAAAAGCGAAAAGGACGCCAGTCAACTTCCATATTTCTCCCACTGGTGTTGGTAAAAAAGTCTCTTTGCACGAGTCGCGTTTCGGGCTGGCTCCTTCGGTCATAATGCTCCCGACTTAAACCAAGATACACCAGGCATCACTGGTAACGAGGCTTCTCTTCTTGTTACAGCAGATCTCTCTTTTGGGGAAGAGTACGGAGGCGAAGTGACGCCCGGAGGAGCCAAATCCTGAAGTAACATCCTAGAACCGTGCGGCAGCAGAAAGCAGCGGCAGCGGCAGCATCCCTTGCCGGCGTTTCAGTCGCTGCCTCACATTCAACTCATATTTCCCTTCGCCTATGAAGAGCGCTAACACAGGCATAAACACGTGCGTGCGCGCGCACCACACACACCGAGACTGAGATGCATTCGTGCACGCTCTTGTGCCACATCTCTAGATCCTCACGCACACGGGGGACGCAGAGGGAAGCAGATATAGAGCATAAGATTCAATACAGAAGAGAAGCGGCTGTTGGAAGCTATAGTTTCTTACTCTATACAAAGAGTTATTAGCCAAAAGCCAATAACATAGAGACAGCCAAAAAGAAAGAAATATGTATATTCTATGTTGTTACAAACATATTGCAACTATCATTAAACATTCAAAGTCATTTTTGTTGTAACATGGACCCTGTCAACCCATACCACTTCTTTTTCTTGAAATATACAGACTCTGCAGTCTCATAGTTAATAAAGGGTTTAATAGTAAAGTGTTGCTGTTTCATAAACCGTCTCAGCATATTTCCCTTTAAATGACAACCAGAGAATAATAATCCTTTTTGTGACAGTTAATTCACTATCCTTTCTCCTAAACAATCAATAGGAGAGAGTAAGTGAACGCTTCAGATCAGAAGGCAGGTCAAAATACTATTCCATTCAATTCTATTTTGTTTAGCTCTAATTCACAGCAATATTCGCCTCTGAGGAAGTAACTACATTTTCATTTTGCAAACAACAGATTAGAGAATGAAACAATTAGAACAGAAGGAAAGCAATGATAAAACACATATGAGCCGTTACTCCATGGGGACACATAGATTCTCTTTGAGGACTGGACATTTCAGCTGTGTCTAATATAGGCAAACAGACATAGACGAATTATGCCATCATGTGGAATATCTTTTTGTAAACCATTTGAAAAATAATGGGTGTTGTACCAAACCGTCTCATAGACATGGTCGCTGAGAGGATCCCAAAAAAAGACATGGAAATGGCATGGACATTACTTAGTATCCAAAAGAGGTGAGGGGACACATATAATCAACAAAGTACAATGGAAAAAACTGAAAAAGGTGCAAAGAAAATATGTCTTTTTGGAGCTTTTGACTGGTGCAGACCATTTTAAATTTTTTCCCATCACTCAATATTTGTCAAGGATTTCTTTGTCATCATCATGCCTAATCTCTTTGGATCATACTTGTTCCTATTCACTTAATGCCTTCTGTGTCAATGCTCCCTTACTTGACTTATACAGTTCAAAAGTCATTACTGTCGAAAAAAAGCAGCAGTGATCGCAGCATAACCAGCGTAGACATACCGGTCAAGGGGTGCGTCGCCAGGTCCCGAGTACCTCAGTCCTGTCCCGTTGTCCAGGGAGGCCTGTCTGTAAGGTCTGCCTCGGTCTGGCGCTCCTGGATCTTGTAGCTTTGCCTTCTTGCCCTGTGGTCCCCCTTCGTACACCGGTCCTGAGCCGTAGAACCACGCCCCTGATTTAGTGAGGATTTCTTGTTGTTTTCGGCACAAGTTGCATACCCACATAACCTGGACAAAAAGCAAATTATCTCAGTCATTTGATGTAAAACGCTTCGAATCTGGATGATCCTGAAATGAGCAGTGATTGTGGCGTCTGGATTTGTAGTTGGACTTTGAATGTTTAAATACTGTTGCTGAGTGAAATCTTTGGAACGGCCTTTTCATTTCATAGCAACAGTGTTACACATGGATAAAGTGAGTTATGAAATGTATGAAATGACACATGCAGCAGCCTTCTTATTAACAAACCCAATCATTGAAATCTGTGAGTCAAAAAACTGTACGATATATATTGTTTTATTTCACTATCACTACATTTGCATACATGCATTCATTTTTAAGGCTTTACTGAGTTTCAGAAACCAGATTATGTTCTTTCAGCGTGATCTTTCTACTTCCTACGCAAATTCGATGAAGTTACATGTTTACACGTCTCAATTTACTGTTGTTCTGCACCAAAGCTCCGAGATGACCATATACTTGGTTGTGCCACCAGGAAGCAGTGAGATTGACAGCCAGACAGCGTAGGGGCAGCCAACAGCCACTGCAGCCCACATCCCACATCCCACTGCTGAGTCAGTGCATTACTGTTATTAGCAGGCTCTCAATGCTGTCTCTCTCTCTATCTGCTCTATTATGTACTTGTGTTTTTTCACCGAGTCTCGCAGATCTCACCACAGAAAACGCCACAATATGCTACTTTGCTGGTAAATAGGAACAGGCTTAAGCTAGTACATACAGTGTATTCATGTGGCAGGCGATCTTCCCTACGTGATTAGTTAAGTATAAGCCAGTACCAGCCAGTAAACATGAGAAAGTGCACAAAGGTAGTACCATCCAGGATTTAATCACATGAACTACTACAGTGCATGGTGATGTAGGGACATTAGTCATAGTGTATGGTCTTTTTATGTCCTGTGAACAAAGTAAAGTAAAGTAGTAGTAGATAAAACAGTAGTTGATTATTCAAAGAAGAGGAATCTGTGCAGCATGGATTTAAGTTAATGATGTAGAGTTTGTCCCATTAGAATTAAAAGTTACAAAAAAGGAAAAGAGATAGTTTTACGAATTCAACTATATGACACGTTGCTCCTACACGAGGAGGAGAGACTGCAGACAAAGACTGATTGTGGTAGGACTTCAGATGCAGTACAAAGAAGGTGAACACGTTGAGCACAGGCAGTATGGACTTGGCTATGTGATATTGACACATGAGTCCTTTATGAGCGACCATCTATGTTACAGATGGTCCATAAATGTGCTGACACACAATGGAGGCACAGAGGCTACAAATTGTGCTTTACGGGCCCCAGAAGAGCACCGCCAGCGGGGGCCATGACTGCCTCTTTAACCAGGGTCACACTCAGAGCTTTGCACTGAACCATGAACCATCGCCCCAGACACACAAGCTACCAAGGCCAGGCTCCCTGCTAATTGCTCGCACATCATTTCCTATACCTGCTTGTACGCACGTAGAATCCACCATACTGAAATGAAAAGCTGAAGATCAATAATTGTGTATTTATTTATTCCTTTTTCCATTCATCTTGGCAGCTTAAGCCAACATTTCAACAAAAGAGGCCTCTAAACATGGTCCATATATCTTGGGAGTTAACAAAATCTCTGCGATTATTCACGACATGCCTGTATTCGTACAGAGGTCAGGCTATAGGCTCAAGTATATGTCCACTTCAGCCGCAGTCATTTACACATGCAGCCCTTTTTTTCACGGTTCAGCACAGGCCAAGGCTGTGGCCCTTGAGCATTACGGTTTCTCTCGGTCTTTGCACGCTTTATGGCCACTGAACCACCAGAAACTTAAAATAGAAAACTAAAAAAAAGACACTGCTTCATGCCGGACACACCAGGAAGACATATGCTGTTAATGCCTTTGTTGGGGGAGGCAGTTTATCAGTGCTCTAAATTCAAAGAAACAAACACAGAGTACCACAGGATCAATAAATAATTTCCTTTCACTAATAGTTCTCAGCAGAGCATCTTCAATTATCCCTGAAGCTATATTGAACTATATTTTTGTAATGTATAAGCGTGAGAATGTGGTGAGAATTGTAATTTAGTATGTTCTGGAGAAGCAGCCATTGACACATGGAAACAAGCTCATGCAAAATGTTTTGGTGGTATAGACTATAGTGGGAAACATATTTACTGTACATGGATTTCAACAAATAGTACACGGCCAAATCAAATCTTTATGAACACAAGTGAGTGCAAATCTAAGAATTTTGGAAAGGAGTAATTGAGAATGTATAATTTAGATAAACTGCATAGACCAGTCAATTATCCAATAAATAACCCAGTACAACTTTTGTATTTACTTATGTTATGTTATATACATTCCATTCGAGTGAGGTTTACACTGCACTATATAGATCACTGGGCTCTCTCTTGTGGCCAGTCACCAACACTACAGTTATTATAGGCTCAGGGTGAATCAGCAGTATCCTCTTAACTGCCCTGTTTTTTGAAAATAAAAGACTAAATGGAATGACAGACACTTTGCCCAACCACATCTCTATAGATCTACTTACTTTTAGATGCATAGTTTAATCCAATATTCTTATGCAATGTCAAACTATTACCTGAGGCCATAGTGCATTAGGTTGTCCTGTTTCAGTTTAGGTTTTTAATACACTGCTTTCTTCGGTATTAAGGTATAAAAACGGTGCTATCATTGCTCTCATCTTGCTTGTCTCAACTTCAAGTAAATCAAGTAAAGTGCCCTACTCATTAAAGACTTAGCATTCACGGAGCGATGATCCCGAAAATCTCCCCGTCTTGATTTTAGTCCAATGTATATTTGGCCAATAGGTAATACGTAAATCCATGTCTTCAAGTAACATGATTAACTTTCGTTCTACGGGGGAAAACCCGAACAAGTTGAGATTCATTCTAAAATAAAAAATGACAGCAGAAAAGGGAGCGTCCATTCGCCTTCACATGCTGCAACGTTGGCTGCACGTGGTGAATTACATTTTAATGAGCTTCTAATTTTAGAACACGCAGCACCAATAATAATAGACTTGATGAATATGCATGTGCCGTGTTTGAAGTTCCGAGGCACGAGAATGAGGGAAAATCCTCGCAGCGGTGTGACATAAAAAATGACTTGGGTCTGGTGAGCGCGCAGGCACCAGTATAAACGGGTCACATGCAAAAAAAAAAGAGCATAATTTAGCTGGTGAATAATTTTTAACGTAGACACTGTTTTTTGCACAGAGATCATTCAGACAACTCGCTCAAAAAAATGTCTATTTAGTTCCATTCACTAGTCTTACCCAAGATGCAGATAGGGAACATGATCGAGTCTGAGTTCCGACCTTCAGCACCACGGACAGCTCCAGACAACAGGCTGCGAGCGGACGCACACCGAGCTGAAGGTTACAGCACGGTTTTATATCCACCGCCAATCTCCCCGAATCAGCAGCCGTGTCCAGGGTCTGTATCAGCACATTGAGCCAGCGGGCAACTTAAACGCATTCCAATAATGTGGAGACAGATCCGTCAAATAGAGGAAAAAGAATCCGGGATCCGCACATCAGCCGTATATACGAACTGATTCACACGCAGTCCTTCTTGTCAAATCACGCTGCGTTTCCCCCCAAGAGCAGCGCGGGGTTAATTCATCACGGTGTTGATGAAAGCTCGTTACGTGTGCGTGTGCGTGTGCGTGGCGTAGCGTCCCAGCTCGAGTCCCTCCCGGAGTCCGCTGGATTGCGAGGGAAAGCTCACACAGGAAGAAGAGGCGAGAGAGAGGCAGACACTCTGCTTCGCGACAACAAGATCACTTACGATTCAAGACACTTAGGCTACTTCAGTCAGTCTGTGCTGTCATCCTCAGAGTAACACTTGTCAGGGAAATGACACGCTGCAGCTCTGGTCACAAACCAATCAATTAGATAGAATACAAGATGAATTAAACCGCGAATGGCGTCCTCTCTGACGTAACGGTGAGGTACGAAACACGGTTTTGGCGACAGCGCGAAAATGATGACATATTGTAGGTTTTTAGGGAAAGATCACTTAGTTCTCGATTGATGTTTTGCTGCCTCTATAATTGCAGAATTCTAAATGATTAAATCAAAATGACAAAATCACTTGAATAGTTACTATAAAACATTTGAAAGGCTTACCAAGTAATTGTTTTGAAAAGCGATCTAATCTATTTTAGTGCTAAACAAACAACATGTCACCATTTCTTGAGCAAATCCTAACACATTTACTAGAAATAACAAAACATGATGAAGGTTGTAGTTAGAGGAATAACATTTTTGGACGCATTCTCAAAACGGAGATAGCTGTTTTTGCAAATTATATTCACTTTCAGTCCTATTGAACATACAGTAATTTAGTGGTAAGGGGAAACTACACAGATACAGAGAGAACATGCAAACTCCACACAGAAAGGCAGAAAGGAGGGTCTAAGGACAGTAGTGAATGATCCAGGACACTCAACATGGACATATGGACATCTATGTGTGTTTTACTATTGCATTTCTTGTGTTTGAACTCTTTGATTCTCTGATCTGTGTTGGAGTCTAACTACTGTTGTAATTCAGGGGTATACAAAAAAAAATTGAATCGAATCAAATTTAGAAAGTCCCAGTCCGGCCCGGGATCCAACCCAGGACCTTCTTGTTGTGAAGCGTGAGCGCCACAACTCACGCCACACTCACGCCACACTCACTGAGCACTAGTGATATCTCAGGTGTTCATCTTGTACTCAAAGGGCAGACTGATTTATGCTGACATGTATCAAATGAAACCACGCAATCAGTCATCAATTAGACCAGGCCCCACATCTTCAGAGGACATCTAAATCTTAGTGCCTCTAAAGTATATCATATTCCAGTTCTGCCTCGCGAAACTCACTGCTCCAGACATAGAGCCTGGTTAATATTCAATGACGTTTCACAGAACAAGATCTCTCTCGCCACTGCTGTCATCATCTGTGAGAGAGAAAGAGTAGACGCATGGAAAAAGGGCACATTTCCCCAGCAGCAGCAGCAGCACCTCTTTCACTGACACACAAGCTTTCTCAACATTGCCACCAAAATGTAGCTCAATGCGGGTGTCATGGAGTAATCAAAGCCTTATCCAATGAGCTCACAAACTCTATATCGGACCAACAACATGGATGACTTTGACTGGCCACTAAGGGTTAAGAAAATGTGTGGTTAAATAGTATGTAGTCCCGGGAAAGTGGGAAAAACAATTCAAAATAATCTACTTTTAATTGTCCTTCTGTTTACTGTATTGCAACCAAAAATGTCACCATCAATACAGTAAGTTAATAAGTTAGCAATCCTTATATATAGCGTGAATTTCACCAACCAAGGTCACTCAAACACTCCGACATGGGGAGAACATGCAAACACCACACAGAAAGACCTCAGAGGAATTCCCTTGTTGGTCACGAGGGAACACAGTGCATTTCTCACCCTGGGGATCAAAACTACAGTGACTTCAACAGATGTATTTTGTTTTTTCTATGCTCTGTTTTAATCAAATAATAGTAAACGCAGAAGAATATAGGATGAAGTTTAAACTACTGTACTTTGAATGATTGGGTATAACGCAAGCAGCTCTTTGATTTTTTTGACTAGTTACATGGGAAAAGGAGACATTTCTACCATTCAAACTTTTTTCCTACAAAAATACAATCAAAAATATACAAATGCAATTAAACAAAAAAACAAATAAAATCAACTCAGATAAGAAGAAATTGACAAAAAACTAAAACACTGTGCGTGATGGAGAGCAGGATGGGGGTATCTGGGGTCACACTGGAGAGCCATGGCTTTGTTTAGTGTAATATAACGCAGCTTCTATAATTGTTCTACTCTTGTTACTACACTGAATCTACACTCGAAAACTGCCTCATCCATCTTTATTAGATCATGTGCAACGCTGTCCTCACCCAGCAATCCAATACTTATTAAAACACAACTCATTTCTCATACCTTTTGATGATATTTCAGCACGATTCTTTCCTACAGTCTGTTTTCCCTTTTAAAACACATGTAAGCCTTTCCCTAACTTAGCATAGTTGATGTAGATGTTGACAATCACCAATCACCAATGCATATAGGTTATTATACCATTGCCTGGAAAATGTTCACTGAAATTGGATCTGTTTGTACTGTATATCTTATGACAAAATCAGTCTCATCCATTGTTTATTCTCCCTTATTTTATGGATGTGATTGTAGATGTTTTTGTATACGGTACATTTAAAGACATTTATTGACTTCGGTAACCCCGCTCCCTGTGGACAAATGGCTCCTATCTATTGCATTTCCTGTTTGTTTGAACTGTTCGGTTCTCTGATCTGTTCTTGGTGAATCAACGAGTTTGTAAAGTCCTTTGAGACGACTGCTGTTGTGCTTTAGGATTAGACAAAAAGAAATTGAATTGAATTAAAGTAGACGTCTCTTGAATCAATGAGTGAAGACCCATACCCAAGTAATTTGTGAAAAGTTTACTTAAATTGTAAATAAATTATGAACTATACAAGACAAGTAAATCAAACTAAATGCATGGCTCCATTTAGCATTGGCTCAAGGCAGGACAGAGAGGGGTGAAGATTGAGTTATTTATAAATGGGACAGATATCAGGATATTTGAGACAAAAGTGGATATTCTCACAAACCCTATCCTCTATCAAATCTTGGAGAGATGTGACACAAACATATAGACAACAATGTCAGCATTGTCATCTGCCATGGATAAATATATCTCCAGCTGGCACTCAAAGACAGTGTTGCTGAAAAATGCTGTATAGTGGAGAATTCTAGTGGCAGAAAAAACACTTGTGGATGTCCTTTAGTCATCCACAAATGATGAGGAATGTCAATTTTACAATAACCTATGCATTCCACTAATTTTTTAGATCTGGGCACATGAAACAAATGCGAACAAACCTCAAATCCAGTGCAGGAAGCCGGGACTACGACGTCTAAACCTTTCTGAATATCAATTTCAAATCGAGACACACCAATTATGGAGATTGAAGAGGAGGACTTGCTTTCGATTCTCACAAACTCACTGTTTTGGAGAACAAACTGAGCCAGGGACAGACTGCATGTGTCTTCATCTTTCTTCATACGCCTTGCTCAATGTTTTCCATATACAGTATACCCACAATTGAATCTGATTAGTCAAGGGTTGGCTTTTGCTGTGTGAGTGTATAAGGAATTTAGATACAAAGAAATACAACAATGCAAAACGTGCCAAAAGTCCAAATGTCCATCACCCACATGCTGCCAATGGAAGTACTCATCACCATCTGCACTACATGCAAACTGATCCTCTGCTATTATCCACATGGGCACAAAGGAGGAAGACGCAATTGGGGTCCTCAGGGGGAGCAACGGCACACAGGACTACCCCGGCATTCTGTGTTTTTTGGATCAAGTCCATTGGTTCTACTATGTGCACCCCTGTAGAGGTACTATTTACCATTGAGAAACCCAATACATGTAAGTAGTATAATGAAGAAGATGCTCAGTCATCCACGCTGTAGTATGCAAAGTTAATGTGCAAGTATTTGTAGTATGAAATTCAAGTTATCAAAACATATATTTTTGGGATGTTCCATATGAACTGAAGATGTGAAACAGCATCAGTAGCCCTTTCAACAACCCACTGACACTTATTGTGAAATATTTAAAAACATGAGTGTTAAAAAAAACAGTTTAAGGTGCCATTGTTGTCTCCTCTTTGGATTTGTTTCATAAAAGTAACTCCTGCCACAAGTCTCTTTCTCACTGTGTTTTTTGCCAAATTTGAAATTACATTACGATCTGGAACAACAGAAAGAAAGACTGATACAATTTTTAAACCCATATCGAATATTCACGACACAGAAGACGGGAACATGTCACAACAGTCAAAATAAACTTTCAAAGTAAGTCTTCCAAGTCACAAGGCTCCCAGAAAACCAGTGAACAGGATTATAATTATAATTAGGGGCGACAGTAGCTCAGTTGGTAGAGCATTGGCCTTTGAGCCTGAAGGTCGTGGGTTCAAGCCCACCGTAAGACCTACTTCACGACTCCCACTGATGACTGCTGTCGTTGTGTCCCTAGGCAAGACACTTAACCCCACTTTGCCTGAAGCCCCCACTGAAAGATCTCAGCTCCTGTGGACTCACCACCTGCAGGAGGATCAGTGAGAGGCTGGTGCTCTGTGACTGGGTGCAGCTCTGACTGCCACCCCCCCGACCCAGAAATGGATTAAGGGGAAGAAAATGGATGGATGGATGGATGGAGGATTATAATGAGCCATACCTGCCTGGCCCACTCTCCTGTTGCGTGGCTTGTTAGGCTGTCATTACGCAAAGTAACGTGACTTTGTCCCTAGTGTGACTTATGCACAGTTTTCTACAGTTTTCTCAACTGACCCACAAGCTTTAACAGTTTGGTTTTATTACTGTCTAAATTACTATTATTACATTTGGTCAAAATTATCTTCACAATGAAAAAGCCTGAAATCAAAAGGCAGTATAAAAGAAGATATATTTTTGCCTTTTTTGTGGAAAGGGTACCCTGGGGTTTTCGCGCAGAGGCAAGGAGGCAACAGACTATTCAAGGTGACTTTCTCATAAGATAACTACCAATCAAACCTGAGTTTTGGTTTAATGTAACGATTGGAGACTCACAGACATTTCACTTTGCTTGTTGTGGCTGCTGTATGTGTAAATGAACCTACATCACACATCATATCAAAGCATTTTAAAAAACAAAATGCTCAGGCTACGTCCTAAAAACACAGAAAAGTGTTTGCTAACCACTTTGTCCTCCTGTTGCAATTCCAAGTGAGCAGAAATGCAGCGGAAACAGGAAACAAAAATAGTGAGAAAACGAGACAATCAAAAACAGTAATTAGTCTGAGTGATCCCTCGTAGACAAGAACATGTCTAAACCCTACAGGATTTGGATATGTGCAGTCCGAATACTGTAACTGGGAAGCAAGCACCAATAGCCCAAGAAAATGAGGAAGAGGTCCCTCCAGTGGTACAAACAGGCAGTTATAGGTTTCTGTAAACTTGTGCTTGTAAATATGATGAAAATTTGCAATAGATGTTCAAGATTTCATTGGATATTTAGTAACTGCATTAGTCGCTGTATGAAAAAAATTTGGCTCACTTCCCAGATAGATTAATGATTTACTGCTATAATAAATTTGAAAATAGTAAGGGACAATTAAAGTGTGAATATGTGTGTATGGGAGAGATATAAGAAAGGGTAGATTTACCTTATTTGACCGCAGAGAAACACGTCCTCCGCACCGTGCACAGAATTTAGTTTGGCAATATGAACAGACATGGCCACAGCCGTCGGCAAACTTGGTTTTGTGGCAAATCCCACAAATAGGGGCTTCACTTTTCTGGTCCGGTACCGGTTTTGTCTCATCACCCATCTTCTTGACCTGGTCCTTATAGGACTCAAACTGCTGGTGCAATTTCCTGTAAAGACCAGACAACAAGAGGAGATTAGTAATGTAATGTTTATACAGGGAAGAGCGGAGCATCAGGTCAAAAATCTGAAAATTGAATTCAAACATGCATATTGAACAAAGCAACTTGCTTAAACAATGAAAAACATACAGAGCAATGACTAGGCAAGCTGATCCAAATCGGTACAGGACAGACACTGACAGATATAACGTATTCACATTTAAATGTCAGTATGCTGGTATGTATTAACAGATTTAACTGAAAACCTCCCTTTATACAAGCCAAATTATTTAATTAGCACAGTGTGGTGAAATTACTGGCCGACAACTATGACCTAGGACTTCTTACTTACTCTATGCTCTCATAAACTGATCAAATTGTGCATTGCAACATTCACGACAACGCTTCAGTCTAGTTTTTTAGCTTCTCAAACATTAAAAAAAGAAGTGTTGCCTCTATAACCACACGTTGGAACTAGGAAGTCAAAGTTAACCATTTTAGGGAAACAAATTGCTGAGGTTATATCACTGCCCATCAATTTGTAAGCAGTGGTCACTAACAGTAGACTTGGCCACCCTGAAAGCATTAGCTTGTGTAATGTGGTACCACTTTCGTCCTATAGATGGCCCTGTCCTGTCATGTTACACCTGATCTTATGCAGAGGAGATCCTTAACTCCGAACAGGCCTAGAGAGAGACTTGAAGTGAAAAAAGCTAAGACAAGTTGCATGCATTTTGTATGACACATGTCAACTGAGCGTCTCCTTGGGAACTAAACACTGGGCTGACTTCATAATATGGCGATTAGAATTGGTTTCGCCCCACATATCCCCTGCAACATTCATCAGTGCTTGTGAATTATTGACTAGCTGCTATCCTTTTACCCCATAGCGCTCTGTGTTTGTGCTAATTGTACTTCCTTTTAGCCACAACTTTGGGCATTTAGAGACCAAATATGGCAGCACCTGAATATGGGTCTTGATTAGTTTTGTTCTTTGTGATGCCAGGCAAAAACAAAATATGAAGTATACATACATGTTTTGCATCATAATTTTTCGTTTGTTTACAGTGGTCAATCATTTTGCATAAACTAATTCTTCCTTGTCATTTAGATAGGAATAGAAATTTCTGACCATATGACCCTGCAGTATCATTCAAGTTTAGTATTAATCATGAATAACATATCAAAAGTCAGCATTATTTGCCGTAGTTTGACCAATGACAGGGGGCTAAGCTGTCTATAAAAAAATTGAATTCATTGCGTCCAATCAGGAAGCTGTGGGGGCGTGTCTAACTGAGAAGAGAGAAGACCAACACCAAAAAAGTCACAGTGTGTATCTTTAACAGACGATGAGGCTAAACAATGTAAAGTCATGGCTTGTGCATTGTCTCTTGTTGAAGCGTTTCGAGGGATTTAAAGGCTAATTGTGTCTGTCTTTTATGTTTATTTATTCGTTATTTCATTATGATGTGTCCATGCTTAACACCTCTTAACAAATCTCACATACTGACAGAGAGCCTGATAAGAGATGAGCAGTGATACAACACAACATGACAAAAAGAAAAAGTTAAACAATAGGCAGTGGTGGGAATAATTCACTATAAATATTAACTTGTATGTTTAGTTTTTATAGAATGTTCTCTTCCACATGCAGATATACAGACATTTTGAATTGTTGTAGCTGCTGGCAGATGGTAAACAGTGCTTGTTCCCCATGGGGTTTGCTTATTGGGTCAAACCCGGTCATATGTAGGTGACGGGTAATCATACGCTGATCATTGTCCCGTCCTATGGCAGCACATCGGAGCTCCCTTCACTGCACTGGCACAGCGACACACAGGGGTAACGTGAGACTATCGCCTGGATATATGACAGACACAACATAGCAGCTGGGTTATAATATTAATGATGATGATTATTTACTACTGCCCTAAGGTAGAGAGATGCAAGACTCCGACCACCACTGATCGCTGAAATGCCGTTCCTACTGCGCAAGGAGGCTGTAGTTTAATGGTGAGATGACAGAGAGGTCTGAGAGGAAATTGACCTAATGCTGAGTTGGTGGTGACCTACAAGCTGTTCTCTGCATCATTAAACCAGGTTTTAAAGTGTGATTAATTCAACAAAAGGCAAAAGGGAGTTAACCAATAATAACTTTTCAGATCATTTGAAAGAAAAGCAGGATTAAACAGTGTCAACAGTCCATAACAGTGATTTAGGAGCACTGTGGATATGGAAGGAGTGTGTCTGAAGAAAGAGCCCACAATAAGCCTGTACATGTTAATATTCATTTCAATATCTGGCATGTTTTCCGCATGTATAGTGTCTATCCAAACTGTCTGTGTGAAATGTATGTTTTTTCTCTTTTCTGTTCAGCCTTGCGTCACAAAGGAGCGAGGATGAGATGTCCACTGCACGCTTTGATGTTTATGAATGTTTATTCCTTGAACTGAAATTTCCCCACATGGGACTACTAAAGGCATTTATTCATTCCTTCATATACCAGATATATAAATTAATCCCTCAGTTGTTCATGAATGATCCATCGCAGAGACGTTTTCAAAAGTAGTCATCTGGACCAAGTTTTCAGTGTAGAGATTTTGACTCCCATTAAGGCCTAATTTCAAGATTTTTATTATGATAGACATCAGTTAAGGGGCGACAGTAGTAGTAGTAGTAGTAGTAATCTTTATTTATATACCGCCTTTTCACTGCACATCGGAGTCTCAAAGCGGTTTACAATTGTTATTTTTTGGGAGCGGGGTTGCCAGTACAGGAGGCACATGCCAGACCTATTGTACATATTTTTTTTAGTGGTAGGAGAAACCGGAGCACCCGGAGGAAACCTACGCAGACACGGGGAGAACATGCAAACTCCACTCAGAAAGGCCCTGGTCCAAACGGGATTTGAACCCAGGACCTTCTTGCTGAGAGGCGAGAGTGCTATCCACTCAGCCACCGTGCCGCCCACGGTAGGTCAGTTGGTAGAGCATTGGCCTTAAGGCCAGAAGGTTATGGGTTCAATTACCCTCTGCACCTTCTCCACCGACTCCCACTGATGACTGCTGTCGTTGTGTCCTTGGGCAAGACACTTAACCCCACTTTGCCCAAAGCCCCCACTGAAAGATCAAGGCTATGCTCACACTCAGAGAGCAGCCGTCCTCCTGTGGACTCACCCCCTGCAGAGGGTCAGTGAGGGGCTGGTGCTATGAGACTTGGGTGGCATCTCTGACTGCCACCCCCCTGACCCAGAAATGGATTAAAGGGTAGAAAATGGATGGATGGATGGATGGACATCAGTTAAATGTTGTCCAGATGACACTTTTTAAACTTGCTCTGTCACAGTTACATTAATGTTATATAACTGTTACTGTTTACTGTTTTTGTGTTAACACAGGGTTTCTACAGGCTTCTTCATGTCAAATTCAAGTCTTTTTCAGACCTTTTTAAAACAACCTTCCGGAAATGTTATCTTTTAATTAGGGCTGTCAAAATGATTGCGTTAATTCACGTTAATTACCGTTTTCATTAACGCGTTAAAAAAATAAGATGTCTATTGTATCAAATATGTAAGGCTTGAGGAAATATTTTATCGAGCCAGCAGATGGCAGCATTGCTCCATGAATGGTTTGAAAACAGCTAGATGCACTTGTGGATCTTTTTTCTCAACTTGCTGGTGATTTCAATAAAACGTACCTCTACTCGACTGGGGATTACAGGGGAACGAAACAAGCTAGAAACAAAATTATTTTTGCTGATGAAAGTAGACAGTCCATTCTTTCAGAATCTGGTTTTGAATTTCAGATAGTTATAGTACACAATATTCTGTGGGTCTTGAAAATGCAGTAAAAATCATCAGAAACGGCTGGAAATATGGAGTACCTGTTCTGAAATAGGCTGGCAGTCAATGACTTTGTACGCATGTCCGAATGACCCGCCCATTTATAATAATATCACTCAGAATGCCGCGGACACGTGTGTGTGTGTGATGGTGACAGCGGTAACGTGGTCATATAATACACGCATATATATACGCACAGGGGCCATTCTCTGATGTTGTGTGACACACGGAGGAGGAGACACGCTGAAATGCAACCAAACTCGCAAAATTTAAGCTGGGGTACCTACATTTTCCCTTTCATTAACAGCTCTTGTTGGTTGTACCCAAAAGTAGAAGGTTGTGAGCAAGTCAAACAGATTTAAGTACATTGGGTATGAATAACAATGTGTCATTACATTTGAAAATCTCATTTAACTTCAATTGGAGTGGATTTGAAATAGAATGTTAAAAATGCGATTAATTGTGAGTTAACTCACCATTACTATGCGATTAATCAACAACAAAAAATAATCGTTTGACAGCCCTACTTTTAATGAATAAAAAAAAAAACATTTTCAGTTTAAACGCTTTCCAAACTCTTGAATCACTCTTTAAGGAGCAATACCCGTTTCTGCAAGGTTTGAATGTTTAGCACCGCCCCCCAACTCGCTCACAGGCTTCTCATTTCCCCTACGCTCTCATTCCACGGAGCCCTTTAGGTTTATTTGCGATATGATATGTATAATTACATTAGCATGAGCGCAACTTCTTGTAAGCTGTACAACAATCACTGAAGAAATGGTATAAAAGCAATGCACTGCTAACACAATATGTAACTGAAAGATAACAGCTAGTTTCACGTCCGTCTGTAGTCCGAGCATAGATAGTCCGAGGCGGTCCCGCAGGTCTCTCCCATAGACTGTCTTTCCAGAGGATACAATGTAAGCTTGCTATGTTCACACAGGCTTGATTTCTTTTTTGATATTTTTTTTTGCTTTAGTTCCCTATTTTCCGTCGTTTGGACTGTTTTGCTGTGTACTGTATGCAGTTACAGCAAGAGGAGTTATAGCCAATTCTGCTAACATGCTACTGTTTTTAGCAGCTCTGTAGAGGCTATAGAGGACACAGCATGATTGTAACAGCACCGCTCCTCGTTCTGTGAGTGGAGGAGAGCGGGTATCACGCTAAGTCTCCACTCAGCACTTTTTTCGGCCTGAATTCATACACAAGTTGAATCAATGAGCTCAAGTTTTCAATTAAATTACAGATTATAATACAACTTGTATGTAGTAATAAGCATTTTTATGAACTCATTAAAAAAAAATTGGGTATAGCCTCTTTAATTTACTCAGAATGATATTTAATCAAAATTAATAGTTGTTGACAAATTAAACTTTTGAAGGGAATGGGTTAAGTCTTTTTTTAGGTAATATTTCCAACTTCCAAATTCAAGAGGATTAAACTCTGTAGGAACCCTGTAACAGTCATAGTCAGCACAAATCCCCCCATTTTAGTGCACGACTCCTCTCTTTTTATCAGGGAGAGGCAATGGTAGTGACTGAAGGCACCGATTATTCTAAGATCGACATCTACAAACTACATTTTAGAAGCACCATATATATTAATATTGACAACGTATGTGTGTAAGTGATTTCATGGCTCTCTCTGTCACAAGAATTTCCTTCAGGATTAATAATGATAATCGAAATCAAACAACACAATTTGACAGGATCAAGCGGGAGAACTGTGTATGTGCTGTTACTTACGCATCTTGCTCTGGCTCCTTGTCATTTTGGGGCTTTTGCTGGGGCTGTAGAACATTATTTACCAGCTCAGTGATTCCACTAAAGGGAAACCACCTGTTCAAATAAGCAAAATGTGACTCAACAACGCATTGACGCACCAAATGGAAAGAGAAAAGGGATTTTGAGGAAGCAGATTGGTTTGTAGGACAGTTTTATAGAGGTGCATTCAGAAGAACCATAGAGGAACAAAGAGCAGGGTATAAATCGGGCCACGGCACAATGTTGAGTTGTAGGAAATTCACCAGTGTCAGAAAGGAGAGCAGATTGAAATACTCTACACACCAGTTTAAGATACTACGGGAATAGAAGCACAAAGCAGTGAAAAGGATGACAGCTGAGCCATACTTCTAGTGCGAGTATATTTGTTTGTCTTTTTTACAGTTGTATGCTTTGCAGATTAGTTTCATATGAGGGAGAGAAAGCAGAGCGACATACTGTTTGAAATGGTAGGAAACTATAGGAACATGAACAATGGGGACTATACCTGATCATTACAGCTCAAAAACAAGTCATCGTCAGGAATGTCATGAAAACCCGCCATTTATTTGATTTCATCTATTGTATGTTTTTATGTCCTTGAATTACTTGTATAATTGAGCCTGCGTCCTAACGTATGTATGCAAGAACGTAGTACGTAAAAGTTATACAAGTTTAGGGTTACAATACAAAATGTACTTAACAATTTGGCACTTGAGAAAAGTTGAATATTAAGATGAGAGAACTTTGAATTGAAATGCTCCCAAAACGACCGTTAAACTTGATACAAGCCAGTTTTACCTCACAATTAACATGATATATTTAGTCGTGCGAGTTGATGAGTAACACTGTTTATCACAGGTGAGCTCTGATTGTATTGAAAGCAACAACATTTAATGAAAAATGTATTTTGAGTATATAAAAACCATTATTGAGACACAATGGAGCTGTAAAATCTGGCAGTTTTTCATGACAATAGTGACATATGATTCAGGGCAAAGAGGAGGCAGCTACATGAAGCACACAGCACCAATTGGCAGGAAGAAGAAGTAGTGTCAAAGCCTAGTGCACTCAGTGGGTAACGTAGTCTACTTACTGAGCCGGTTGAGGCTTTGGTTCTTCTTTGATCCTAAAACAACAAAAGTAAACAAACATATGTGCATAGCTGAGTGAAAGAACTCAAAATGATAAATGTCAAAAGGAAATATAAACAAAACATTGGGTTGATCAATACAAATAATCAAAATATAACGTAAACATATTTGATATTGAAGCAATATGTGAGAACAAATACAATGGAAAACTAAAACATGCCAAAATCAAGGTATGAAAAGTGTGTTAGACATGATTGGGGCATCATACAACGTTATTTTAACTTTGTTTGCATATTTGACTTTGTAGTGACTCAGCGGCTGTATGAGGGGTCAACATGGCACCTTTACTTTCTATCACAGACGCTTTAGGATCAATGGATAGAAGGCTTTCTCTGCTCCAGAAAACCTACAAACAATTTATCCACTGGAGACACAACCCTGATCAAAATTTCGGGCAAAAAGCTTTAACAGCCCCCGGATACATGGTCAACTATGCAAAAATATAAACTTTTTTTTCCCCGTTAAAAGTTGCGTAATGTACTTTTAATGCATTGTATGTCATGTGTACCATATTATAATGAAGGTATGTGTATGTGTCTTATCACACTGTATATGCCACATGTGTAATTTAGGAGCTTGACTTGAATTGCAAGAAAGACGGATTATTTAATGATTTAAAATTAAACTGACAAGTTCAAACTGAGAATGTAATATCACAACTTCACACAGCGCATCAACATTGCCAGCTTTAAATAGTTGTGTGAGTGAGAGTGTTAATTAGATTTTGTTTGTTTCTGGTCAAGACTTTGCACTGCTGATGAATTATTATTTTTATATCAGATTGTATTAAATATCAGATATACAAACAATAATTAGTTCTCAAATCACTGATCTTTACAAAGCTATGTTACTGTTTAAAATGAAAGGCTTTATTTAGGCACAGAAAAAGCCTCCAGATGCAAAGAACAGTCAGGCATGTTGCAATTATTGAAAGTCACACACTTTTGTTTGCAGATTTCAGGTGACATATGACATGACGCATTAGGACACACACATATATATATATATACTGTATATATATATACACATAAAAAACACAATTTACACCTCTTGTTATTTTCACTCAGAACTTTAGGGTTATAGCAGAACCAAGATTTTAGCAGACATTAAAAGTACCACACTGATCCACCCTCACTGTGTGAAGGAGAGGTTCTGCTGGTTCTTTCCTCTCTGCTGCTGTCAGACTGTACAATGAACAATAAAGACGGATGAACACTGCTGACCTCGCATCTGTGCAATAATGTCAGAATGTGCAATATGGGACCACATGTGTCCACTTTCTCTTTACTTCACTTTTTGCCCAGAGACTTATGCTGTTAATATGTACAGATATTTCACTATGAATGAGTGAATATATTACTTATGAATATGTATATTTATTTGCACTATAGTACCTGTATATATGTTTACAATCTCTTATACATAGAGATTCATTCAGCCAAGATAATTCTTTTTTTTATTTTTCAAGTATAAAGTTGTGCTTTACTTACTACTCCACTCATCTTATTTTGTGTCTGTGTGCTCCCTTTTCCTACTGTTCTGTAACCTATAATGCAACACTGACATTTCCCCACTGTGGAACTATTAAACCATCTCTAACTATGAATCTTAACACAAATACTGCTGTAAATATCCATCCAGTGAAAATAACAGTTTCCCAAGTACACCAACAGAATGGCCACCCCTTTGTTGATTATTTGAAATGTCTTTTTTTATTCTTATCACCAGAAAACTCTTGCCTCCCCCTCAAATGACTACCAGTAACCGAGTAATAGAATACACTGAAAAGCTTTTGGTTTTGGTTACAAACAAAACTTCCACTCTACTTCACAACTTAAAGATTTTATGCAGTAAAAGTGCAATATAGATACAATTGATTACTGTTAATATATAGGATAGATGAGTCTGGAAACCTGCCACACAATCTGCAAACTACGCCAAACTTTAATGAGGAATCAGACATGTTTAAAATTGCAGCAGTCTACAGCCAACTGAGACCATGACATCTGCCTCTTGAGCATCAGCAAAGAAGCACAGTGCCATAGTGGCTTCCTAGTGAGTGAATTTACCGCAAAGAACGAAAAAATTCCCAGGCTAATTGAGAGCATGTGCCTGCGTGTGTATTTAAAGCAAGAAAGGTGAGAGGCTGTTTGTACCCGTCAGTCTGCGCGGCCTGTTTCCCGATGAGCCAGTCCATATTTATCCTGTCCTGGTGTTCATATTGATCCCATTAGAAGAGCTGTGGCGGTGGTCACATTACAGCCGTGTGCATGCCGATGGTGGAGCCGCCGCTGTCTGCCCGGAGCGGCCGGTTTGGACTGGGTCAGTGTGCATGCGTGTGTGTCTGTGTGTGTGTGTGTGTATGTGTGTACTACTGTCTACTGTACTCTTACGTCTGCATGCGTAATGTGAGCGAGGGGTGTGACAGGTCGCTTTGTCTGCTGTCAACACGGCCTCTGTCATACTGCCGGGAAAACCATCTTTTGTTTAGATTTTTTTTTTCCAGAATACTGCTGTTTCTCAGATTATAACTGTATTTATTTTTGGGTTTTTTTTTGTATAATGCAACTATGTTAAAACAGTAATTCAATGAATATTATGTATGCACCCTTTCTTATGTATAAAGATACTATATACACTTTCTGTCATAAGACACTCATATTAAACAAAATAACTCACTGAATCTTGTTAAATTACACGGACAATTATTATCGTAAAACTAAAGGGTGAACACAAATAAAAAATGGTACACTTTGTATGTAACTTGTAGCTCTATCGCCCTTCACACCGCCCTTTGAGTCCCTTGAAAAAGTTGAAAGTTTGTGACAGATGGCAAAATATACATGCATATGAAAACTATGATAGAACCAAATTGTTTTAGAGCAAGAAACTTTTTACACAGATGTTGTAATATACAGAAGTTAATTGTTTGTGGTTTCAAAGTTAAGTATCCCTGCTGTAAATAAGTTAATTATAAAATATAGTAGCATTTCAAAAGATAACAATCTATAATAATAATAATATTTCAAAAAGCTATGGATTCAGAAACTATCAGACATAAAGTACAGACCAAAAGTTTGGACACACCTTCTCATTCAAAGAGTTTTTTATTTTCATAATGATGAAAATTGTAGATTCACACTGAAGGCATCAAAACTATGAATTAACTCATGTGGAATTATGTACGATACTAACAAAAAAAATATGAAACAACTGAAAATATGTCTTATGTTCTAGGTTCTTCAAAGTAGCACCTTTTGCTCTGGGTACTGCTTTGCACACTCTTGGCATTCTCTTGATGAGCTTCAAGAGGACCTGAAATGGTCTGAGTTCCCACAGATGCTTAGCACTTGTTGGTCCTTTCGCCTTCACTCTGTGGTCCAGCCCCAAAACCATCTGGATTGGGTTCAGGTCCAAAACCATCTGGATTGGGTTCAGGTCCAAAACCATCTGGATTAGGTTCAGGTTTGGTGACTGGAGGCCGGGTCGTCTGGCCCAGGACCCACTACTTTCCATATTGGACAAATAGCCCTTACACAGCCTGGTGTGAATCTACAGTCAATAGTCATGAAAAGAAAGGACACTCATTAAATGAGAAAGTGTATCCAGACTTTTGGTCTGTACTGTACATTTTAAGAGAGCAATTTCAGGTAATATTCTTAAAACAAACATATAGGCAGAAGACAAAAGTGTAACCGTGTCTGGAACAACGCCAGAGGACAGTCTAAAGTCAGCGGTGCGAGTGTCTTATTTGACATGGGGGCCGTAAAATGACGGAGTGTAAAATGTCACAAGTGACGCAGGCCGTATCCTGACTACAGCACAGGTCTGCAGGCCACAGGACCCTGTGTCACCTGCTGCACTCAGGAAAACATTAAGGTCTGTGGCAACAACACAGTCAAGCACCATATAATACAAGCTACAAGTATATTTAAAACACTCCCAACAACAAAACAACTAAGCTTATTTCACAGTAATAACAAGAATTTCAACAAACAAACAAAACCAAAGATGTGACTTGTTCAACCATGTACAGCTAAAGTCCCAGTGTCCTATTTTCAAAGTTGCAAAGAAAATGTACCTGACGCTTTGTTGTGTTTTTAAATTGTCCCAACAGATTGACTCTTGTTTCAGACCAGAACTAGCTGCCTTATGAAACTATTTTTTACATACTGAGATAGAGGATTGGTCCTCTCTTTTTCACTGAACAAGCTGATCTAAATACCTTGCATTCAAAATCTAGGGTTGGAAGGATTTTATGACTTTTTTGTTAAGTCTATTATTCGATTATAAAGTTACTAATTTCAAAGTTAGGTACTCCAGCCTTAAATATTGATGCTCAATATGTAAATAGGTCATCTTTAGTTATATAGCGCTTTTTTACAGACCAAGGTCACCCAAAACGCTTTGCAATGTTCAGAGATTGGATCGTTTTCAATTCTCTCCACACACAGTGATGATGGAAGCAATGTATAGTTCCAGCTTACTTTACTTTTTTGTGACAGTACATGGAACAAAATATACCAAAGTAAGCCTCCAAGCAATCAACATTTATATTTATTTATTTATTTTTATTTATTAATTAAGTATTTATGAACAGACCTTTTTTTGAACAGACCTTTTTAAGCATTACAACAGGTGAGCCAAGACATGTTTAAATTCAATTGAAGTACCAAATATTTTACACCATTTGGGCCATTCATTTACTTTATTGAACATATGGGCCGTCCCCACCTCTGCACACTCAGACAACAGCAGGTCTGAGCAGGTGAACTCCGTCAACCGCTACCTGCACCTACTACACTTTTAATAAGGCACGTGCTACTGCTGCTATTTCGAGGTCTATTGTTTTTTTGCTCTGTTTTTAGACTTGCTGCCTTTGCATTCAAGTACTGTGATACACTGCTCTCTAGTGGACACTTAATCCTGAGAGGCAGATAACTGAAACAAGTGAAAGTATAGATATAAAGTAAAT